AAAAGTTTTCATTTTTATGAAGTGCAATTTATCTATTTTTTCTTTGGTTGTTCATGCTTTTGATGTCATAATAATTCATTGCCAAATTCAACGTCATGAAGCTTTTCCCCTCTGTTTTCTTCTAAGAGTTTTATTGTTTTAGTGCTTACATTTAGGTCTTTGACCTATTTTGAGTTAATTTTTGTATATGGTGAAAGGTAAGGGTCCAACTTCATTCTTTTGCATGTGGATATCTAAAACTGTACAACTAAAAATTGTTTAAATGGTACATTTCTTGTTATGTATATTTTATCACAAGAAAAATAAATTTTAAAAACATGGTAAATTTTTAAAGTATGCCACTTTAAAAAAAAAAAACAGTAAACATAATAAAATCTTATTGTCTCTTTTCCTCCTTGACTTCCTAGCATTATCTATATTGTTGAGCACTCCCTGTGTCTCAAAATAGTCTCCTTTCTTGGCGTCTGTGTAGGTTTGCTCTCTGAATGTTTTCAACAACTATTTTTGAGCTCCATTTTGAAACTGTGCAGACTAGTTTATTTATATATGATTTGAATGACAATGTGTTACTGTTGTGACTTCTAATATAAAAAAATTAATGCTGACCCTTCTGTGCAGCTAAACTTTCCCCCAGGATGCTGTAAGAATCCACAGCTACTAAAATCATTGCTGAAATATTACTGCCATGAATTTGAAATATTTCCTAAATGAAAGAAAATCCTTTTGTTTTCTATGCTACACGTGCATTTTTAAAGAAAAATAAATTTTGCTACATTTGGTGAGATACATTATACTAATGGCAATACCAGTTTTTCCCCTATGTTTAGTTTAGCTAAAACTTTTTTTAGCCATTAACAGAAAAATTAATACCTTTTCACTTTCATACATTGCTGGTAGGAATGAAAAATGGTACCACTCCTATAATGGGGAATTTGGCTATGACTTGCAAAATTAAATATTCATTTATCTTTTGATCCAGCAATCCTGCTTCTAAGAATATATCCCAAAGCCACACTGGCAAACATATAAAAAGATATGAACAAGTCTGTTGCAACACTATTTATAGGGAATAGCAAAAGACCAAAATGTCCATCAATGGGGACCTGGTTGAATAAACTGTGGTACCTCTATTCAGTGAAGTACTGAACAGCCACGTGGGGAATAGGAGTATTTCTATGTATTCGTATTGAGTGATCTTCACTATATTAAGAGAAAAAAAATGTAGATGGAGAAAATGTGTGCAGTAAGCTACTGTTTATTTCCTTTATTAAAACCCAAGTAATTGAAGGTTAAAATAGAAAATTTAAAAATAAATGGTTACCTTTAGGAGAAGGGAAGGAATAGAGTGGAGTAGATAAATGACAAATTAGACTTATTTGAAACTTCTTTTATAGATTTGACTTTAGAGTCCTTGTATATAATCACAAACCAAACTAAAGTTAACAAGTCATTCCTAACAATAAAAAATTAAGCAAATAAACCTGGGTCCCCAGTCAGTAGCATAACCATACGTAAAGGACCATGGTGACTTTAAAACACCATAATTTGTCTACTTATTCCTGGTAGAATGTACGATATGGATAAAAAGAAACGTAAAAATCTTAAGCTGTTTTCAATAATCATGTTTTTGGTAGTAGTATTAGCATTGCTAATTTTGAGATGTTTGTGTGGGTATTGTGGTAGTGAATCAAATGGGTAATTATATTGAGAAATAAGGTTTTTGGCATGGTTGAAAGGAGATAGAGATGTAAGGTTGATGTAGTTACATAAAAACCCTACAGTTTTGCATTTGAATATGAGACATCAGTATGAAGTCATGATATATTATATCTAACCAACTGAAATATTTAAAACAATAACCATCCAAGTAGCAAGAGCATCTCTAGCATAAAAATTGTGGTATCTAAATACCATTCTCTTTAACTCAATAACAAAAATCAAACAATCCAATTAAAAAATGTGCAGAGGAACTAAATAGACATTTTTCCAAAGAAAACATATAAATGGTCAACAGGTACATGAAAAGATGCTTACCATCATTAATCATCAGGGAAATACAAATCGAAACCACAATGAGATATCACTTCACACCTATTAGAATGGCTGTCATCAAGAAGACAAGAGATAACAAGCGTCAGTGAGGATGTAGAGAAAAGGGAACACTTATGCACTGTTGATGGGAATGTAAATTGGTGTAGCCACTGTGGAAAACAGTATGGAAGTTCCCCCAAAAATTAAAAATAGGACTACCATATGATCCAGCGATCCTGCTTCTGGGTATATATCCAAAGGAAATTAAAACAGGATATCAAAAAGATATCTACATTCCCATGTGTATTGCAGCATTATTCACAATAGCCCAAATATGGAAACAACCTGTCTGTCAATGGATGAATGGATAAAGAAAATGTGATATATATATATGATATATATATGAATATAACAATATTCATATATATTTTATTACTGTTATTATTCAGCCATGAGAAAGAAGGAAATCCTGTCATTTGCGACAACATGGATGAACCTTGAGGACACTACGCTAAATGAGATAAGTCAGACAGAGAAAGACAAATACTGTATGATATCACTTACATGTGGAATCTAAAAAAGCCAAACTTGTAAAAACGGAGTAGAATGGTGGTTACCAGGGGATGGAGGAATAGGAGAGATGTTGTTTAAGGGTACAAACTTGCAACTAGTAGATAAATAAGTCCTGGACATGTAATGCACAGTATAGTGATTATAGATAACAATACGGTATTATAAGAATCAAACTTGCTAAGAGACTAGATCTTAATTATTCCCACCACAAAACAGAAATGATAATTATGTGTTGTGATAGAGATGTTAGCCAATGCTACAATGGCAGTCATATTGCAATATATAAATGTATCAAATCAACATGTACACCTTAAACTTACACAATGTTATATGTCAAATCTATTTCGATAATAAATACATAAATACATACCATTCTCACTGAAAGGAACTAGGGTTTCCTGGAGAAATGGCTGATAACAGGTCTGGGGCAGGAAATGTGTAAGGTGACCCTGGAGTATTTTGTTGTACCAGAAAGCAAGAAAGCTGTCAAAGTCTACTACACTTGTGTCAGTTGAATAGACTCCCTCTGTCTAATGACTTCAGTGACTGAAACATATCAAATGTGTTTAAGTTTATGGTTCATAATGACTCAAACACACATACCCTAAACAAATAATACCTCATTAGTTACCTTTGGAGGATGCTAGGGACCCAAATAATATTTTTTAAATAAACATGTGTCAAAGATTATGTTTAACTCATTATTTAATGAGGGAACCAGTAAGATATTACAACTAGTTCAAAGGAGAATTCAAACAATGTGCACACATAGGCAATCAGGAATGCTGAAATAAATTTACAAATAGATGTAAAAGTGGTCAATATCCATGGGGTAATAATCATTGCTTTCCACTGGACAAAATTCACTTATATTTCCATTGTCAAAAATCATTTGCATTACTATGAATATTCTACAACTTAGAGTTGTGGAATAGCTTAAAAGACAGTGAAAGGCACAAATAACTCAGAAGAGTGCACTATCTCCCCGCTCTTGACATATTAATCTTAAAGATTATCCTTGATCACAAAAATGTTTTGTTTTATTGGATTTAGCCTGATTATTTACATAGGTGCAGCGAGAGTATTAACTAACCATATAGGCCTGAGTTTATTTTGTAAATCTAGCACCATATCAACTAATCATTTTGTAATCTGAAAAATAAACAGAAAGAATCTAACATATACCCTGCTTTTCCTATATGAACTGTACCGTAGGGTAACCAAACAGTTGATGAGGGAAAGTCTCCTATGTATTGATTCCTGGGAATAAAAAAAGAAATTTTGGGGTTAGACTAGCACTATTTTGGAAACCCTAATAAATTAATGGGTCTAAGCAATCATCAGACATGGCTGCTAACATCATAGAAAGAGAGACATTATTTGCCTTCTATTAGTCTGAATTTGACCAGACCTCTGGATCTAACCACCAAATTACAAGAAATACAGAGGACGGAGAAACATCAAGTGATCAGAGGAGACAATCAGCAAAGTTTAGGCTGTAGGAAACGCTATAGGACAAATGAACTGGTTTCTTAAACAAATTTCAAGGAAGAAAAACAAAACGCAGGGAAAACCCATAAATTAAAAAATATCTAAGATTCAGAACAACCAGTTGCACTACATGGAACTCCTTTGTATCCTGTGTAACCTATTCAAACAAAGTATGAAAAAATTTGAGACAATTAAGGAAATATAACCTCTGAATATTTGATAATAATGAATTATTAATTATTATGGAGGTGATGGCAGTATTTTGGTTATGTGTTTAAAAAGAGCTCTAAAAAAAAACTCTAAAAAGTTTATTATTTTAGAAGTACACACTGAAAATTTTAAGGGTGAAATCATATGTCTGATATTTGCTGCAAAAATAATATGGAGGAGAGAGGGATAAATGAAACACTGCTGACTGTGAATTGATTAATTGTTGAGGCTGGGTGATGGGAACATGGGGCTTCATTATACTATTTTCTCTGGTTTTGCATAAGTGTGAAATTTTCCATAAAAAATTTTGAAAGAAATAAACTTTAAGGCGTTCTAGTAAATAAACTTCTTTCACTTGATTTTCTTTATTACTTTATAACATTATTTTTGAGACTATATAAAACTATCCTGAGACTATATAATGTATAGTATTTTCAAGTTTAGCTTCTAAATTATTTTACAATATATTTCAAATAAAATCATGGTCATCGGCTATGGCTTTTCAGAGATTTTACCTTTTCTATTTGGCTTAAGGTAAAAAGAATTTGAAATTTTGAGAAATAATACTTTCCATTAAAACATATAAATGTTACTCATGTAATTATTTGATCAACTGAAAGCTTTTTTAAAGCCAAATCATTTTTCCTTCAAGCCTCTCCAAGTGAATAATCAATTTTTGTTTGATTTGTTTCCAGATAACCTTTTTCATGCTGCTCTCTGCAGTGTGTGTAATGCTGAATTTGGCTGGTTCAATTCTCTCCTGTCAGAATGCTCAGCTAGTCACCTCCCTAGCAGGCTGTCAGTTGGTAAGTAATGAAATGCAAACCTTTTGATAAAGGTCATAGGCTTTGACTTTGCATGAAAGTAATTAAAAAGATAATTTTATTATGTCCTTGGATTATTCTGATGTTTTATAGTTATTTAAGGAATTTAAGTTGATTGATTTCTAAAAATTCTCCCAAATTAAAACTTGTTCAGTACTTATAAATCACTTACTAATAGTATATTTCTAAGGATCACATTGTAGTGCTGTTTTAGAATAAATGTCTTTAGTAACGATTATATTTTAGCATTTGTTGCATTGATTTTTCTCTCCACTGAATTTTTAAAAATCAATTTTCTAAGTCGATTTTAAGTGCCAAGATACGTATAAGCTTGATAATGAGTGCATCAAAACAATTTAGTTCTCATTTTTCAATTAAAAAAGAGGCTTATCTTTTAGATCTAGGAAAATTGTAAACAGTGTGCTGTGTACATTGTAGGGGATCAATAAACAATTTGTTGGCTAGAACCATCATTCCATATCAGGACTTAGCTCTTGGTATGGTAATCTGTGATTCTGGCTGGGGCAGAAATGGAAGTATGTCCGGTCACATTGAGTAAGGGTGTAGTTTGACTCCTGTTTCTTTATCTTGAAGAGTACACAGGACTGTCTTCTAGAGCCATGCTCTGTAGCAGGGAAATGCCTACATTTCTCGTGGCCATAATGTTTGGGTTCAGAGGGGCAGCTGTTGGGAAGCCTGCTGCTCCCTACAATCCTTATGTACCAAGGCCCACAGGACTAGTGTAAGTTGGCACGGTTTCAATGCAGAATCTCCTACTGAGTTCCAAAAACTAACTGTGAGAGCTTAATCTTGCTATTTTCTGTTCAGTATGACCTAGACCACATTGATCAGATTTCATCCCAATATGATATACCCAGAGTATCCTCGCTCTGGTGCAGTATTCCCCATTACTGCTAAGAACTGACACAACCTGGAGCCCTATCGCCATCAGAAAGGGTGACTTGCCAACTTGAATCCGTAACTTGGTCAGCCTCTTTATTCCTAAATATGAGGTGCTATGAAGATGTAAAATCTGGCAACCTACAAGGGATTGGCCATTTTCTCTCTGACCTCCATTTTCCAATGTGAAGCCCTTTGTGTGTGGGAGACAGAGTGACTGGGGTGACGAGAAGTGACAGTCTGGAGGTCCAGATCAAAAAGAAAGCCCACACCTAGTGCCCAGTCTTGAAAGGATGACCCCTCCTGGTCTTAATCTCGGACCCTGTTTCCCTCCATCACACACTGCCTGAAAGGAAAGAGAGGTAGATTTGGTTTCCTCTATTCCTTACCAGCTTTAATACCCCCCTAAATAAATTAAAAGAACATCATGGACCCATGTGCACTTTCACATACATCTTGGTTAGATGGTACCACAGAATCATCAGTATTTATCTGACTTTAGAGCTTGATCCTAAGTATCTCTCTGCCCTGGCTCGTACACGGCCGGTAACTTCAGAGTGAGGCCAGCGTGCTCACTTGCTGAGGGGCAGTGTGTACAGTAGAAAGAGCAGTGGATTTGGAGTCAGCAAACCAGGATCGAAGTCATGGCCTCATAACCTACTAGTTATATGGCTTAGGACACGTCATCTTCGCTCTCTCAGCATTATTTCTCTTTCCTAAGTGTGGATATTACCTGCCCTGAGCTTTTCATAAGTTATTAAATGAGATAAAATGTATAAAAACACAAAAAGTATACTCTTTTCCTGTTATAAAAATTATACATTTACCATGGAAAATTCAAAAAACAAAACACAGTCATAATCTTACTACCCAGTTTATTATGTCCTTCCAGTCTTTTCTGTGCATAATACATGTATATGTATACATATGTATATGTGTATATATATGTGTATGTGTGTATATATATGTTTAATATATATTTAAATGTGCTATAGTCTTCTTGCTGCTTTCTGATTTGTTATTTTATTGATAATGAACATTATTTCATGTTTTGAAATTTTTTTCTATGACTTTATTTGTTGTGGCTGCTCTGTACGGATGAATATAACATTATATATTTATCCAAATTTCTGCTTTTTGCACTTGTAAAGGTTGCCATCATCCTCATACAAAGTCTTTTTACAGCTCCTAAAAGTGAACTTGCTTGTTCAAAATGAATCCATATCTTTAAAGCATTTGATACATATTGACATACTGCCTTCTAGAAAAGTTTACCAGTTATAATACCCAATATATGAGAATGCTCTTCTTACACTCTTGCCAGCACTGCGGATTGTTACTTTCTTTAACTCATGCCAATTTGAAAGGTATAAAATGACATCTTATTATTGTTTTAATTTCTTTGAATATTAGTGAGACTGAACTTTTTATTCATTTATAATTGCATATAATTGCATATAATTCCATATATATGCAATTATAATTATATGCACTATTTATATTTCTCCTTCTTCTTTGAGTTGACTGTGACCTTTAGCTGTTTTTAGATTAAAGTATTTATCTTTTTAACTTGTAAGAGCTCTTTATATATGCAATTATATAATTAGTATATATTATAATTGCATATACCTAAGTTTGTACATGCATATGTGCATATACATATGTACAATTTTTATATATGTGTGTGTATATATATATACACATTGATATGTCTTCTTATGTGAATTGACTGGAGCCTTTATCTATTTTTAGATTTAACTATTTATCTTATTGATTTTTGAGAGCTTTTTGTATATTATGGTTTTGAGTCCTGCAGCTTATATGTATATTTCCTGTATTGTTATTTGCCTTTTAATTTTATTTTTTGACATAGAAATGTTTTTAATTTTTGTGTATTCAAATCTATGAATATTTTCCTTTGTGGTCTTACCTTGGAACTGGTAAAAAGAACTTCTCCTTCCCAAGTACATGTGACTCCAATAATTTCCTCTGGTTATGATGTGCTTTTATTTTTTTATAGTTAACTCTTTAGTCTTCTAGGATTTAATGAATTTAACTTTTTCCTCCCAAATGGGTAGCTAGCTTTCCTAAAACTATTTTCTGAGTAACCTAGTATTTTCCTGATGATTTGAAATGCCACCTAATCATTAAGATTCCTTTGGTGGCAAAGTATAAAAACTAACAAAGCCAAAAGCCATTTATTGGAAGTATGGTAGGATCTACAGAATATCCCAGGAGGCTGGAGATTAGCCTTGGTAACTGGCTGGTTCCAAGGAAGCTTCTGTGGGTGCAGCACCCTGACCCAGAGTGGGGGCCTGCAGTGGGAACTGTGAACTCACCAGGGTGTAGTTCTGCAGGAGTGAACAGTTCCAGTGGTTCTTAACCTCTGCCCGTTTGCTCTAGAGTCAGAGCCCAAGGAGTGAGCATTGGATTGGCCAGGACTAGATGAAAATCTGGTAAACTGTCCCATTAGACTGAATCCAATGGGATTCAAGAGGTAATTCCCCAAAATGAAGTTAGGTACTATTAGGAAGAGTTGGGGGGAGGGGGAGGCAGGAAATGTATGCTGGGTGGTCAGAAAACAACCAATATCTATTCTACAAGCATTATCATATGTTTGTACACATACACACAGATACTATGTCTGTTTTTCTATTTCTGGACTTTTCATTCTGTCCCACTCCTATGTCTGTTTATTCATATTCCTGAACAATATTACTTTAATTACCTTAACTTTATATTTTTATAATTCGTAGGGCAAGCCCTACCCCCACCCCCATCCCAGACTTGAATCTACTTCTTAAAAATGTTCTTGCTTATTCTTAAAAATTTAATCTTCCAGATGAGTTTAAAAATTCTTTTTCAAGACTCAAAAGGAATAGATTTGAGAGTTGAATTGGAATCATATTAAAATTATAGGTTACCTTGGGGGAGAACTGACATGTTAACAATACCATGTTTTCCCGTTCAGGAACATTGTGTGTGCTTTGGTTTATCCAAATTGTTTTTATAAATCCTTCAGAGCAGTTTTTGTTTTACTTTAGGATATCTAGTACATTTCCATATCTCTGTGTGTGTGTCTTTTTCCTCTGCATAATTAAAAATTAACTCATTTTCTCTGCATATATAACGTAAATCTCTTTTCTATTCCAGTGCTCCTTTCCAGAAAGTTTTTGGTAGCCAGACATTTCTATACATATTTTTGTGTATTAGCATTTTTACACACATTCGGAGTCTATTCTACACACCATTATTCACATTGCTTCTGTCAGCCCACCATGTAGCTTGGCGACATTTGCTCATCAGCAGTTGGATATCTTCCCAGCTGTTAAATAGAGAGCAACAGAGAATTCCACTGGATGGATGGATGGATGGATGGATGGATGATAATTTATTTAGCTACCACTTAATGAAGGACAGGTTAGGGATGTTTTTCTAAAACAAACATGGCAGAGAAAATTACCCTTTGTGCACATCTATTACTCAACAAATATCGAGTGGCTGTTGCTGCTGCTGTGGGAACTGGCCCAGGTGCAGAGGGTATAGTGGTGAACAAGAGAGGAATGTGCAAAGAGATCTGGAGAAGAAATCATTAAGAGCATCCCTTCAGTCAAAACATAAGAGTGCACTTTAAATTTAGAATGTTATTCCTAAATTGCCTTCCAGAGATGGAGCACCAAACTTTTGCCAATGGTATATGACTGTGCCCAATTACCCTGACCCACAACAAATTTGTGTCATCAGAATTTTTTTATCATTGCCAATCTGACAAAATGTAAGATCTTATTATGTAATTTGCATTTCCTTAATTAAAAGTAAAGTTGAGCATCTTTTACATTTGTTTGCAAGTTTTCATTTCTCTGATTACTAACTGCCAGTTCATTTTTGTTGCCTATTTTTCTGTTAGGTTGTTATTTTTCATAATTGATTTATAAATGCACTTCCTATATTAAGGAAACTAGCCACCATCACATGTGTTGCAGATATATATTTTTTCATAGTTTTTCATCTTTTGAGTTTTTTAATGGTATTCTTTCTGTGTAGAAATTTTATGTACTCAAATTGATTTTATTCATTTCTGT